CCGCTGATGCACTTTCATGCCTTCATGTCTCCCCATGCTTCTTGGCCCCCTGAAATATTCTTCTTGTTAGGGTTATTGGCTGGATTCCCATTAACTTGTTATTTGTATCTCAGGTGCAGAGGGTTAACTTTGCTCCTCAATTCTCAGCACATTGTCATCATCAGTCCCTGCAAGGCCCCTCTCTTATTTATATTATTTTACATTGTTTAAATTATTTGTCCTCGTCTTTCTCAATACCCACTCTCATTCTTCTTCTAGACACAAGCTGCAATATGTTTGATATAGATCCTTGATCATTTAAGACATGCGGTGCTTTGTGTACGCCTTTTATATTTACAAAGATGGTGCTGGGCTGTAAATCTCTATTTCCCACTATTTTCACTCAACACTGCGTTCTTGAGCTATATCCACATTGCTGTGATTTCCCTAGTGATGGGCGTCTAGGTTACTGCCAACTCCCTGATGTCACACTGTGGTGAAAATCCTTGTGAATGTCTTTACAAACCTTTGCAAGAATTTCTTTTGTGCTCTTAAAGAACTTTGTACACACCCCCCGCTTCCTCACCATACTGCTTGGCATATAGCAGGGACTTGGTAAATGTTGAATACCTCACCCATGATGCTTAATATACTAGCATCACTTACTTATATTTCTGTTTTCCTCGTTGGACTGTTAGTTCCTTATGGGCAGGAAAGACGTCTTATTTATCTTTGTGTCCCTGGCACATTCAAAGTGGTTGATTTTAGGAAATGTTGGATGAATGAATGCATGCCTATCCTCACTACCTGTATGTACTAGGATTTAGTCTTGCCCACTTAACTCTGAGTCTCAGCTCAGCTGAATTCAGACACAGGCTCAGCTCCACTCATGAGCTTGTCCCTCCCACATTCTTCTCTCTCTCTCTCACTGGCAACCCCTTCTTCAGGGTGGTTGCTCAGGCCTAAAACTGGGTCATTTTGACCTTCTCTTTCTCTCACACGTTGAATCCATCAACAAATCCTTTCAGAGTCCACAATCTATTTCTCACCACTTGTGCTGCTAAAACCATGGTCCAAGTCCCTATCCTCTTTTACCTGGATTATTGTAACAATTTCACTGGTTTCCCTGCAGCCACTCTTATCCTCTGTCTATTCTCAACACAGAGACAGACCCTATTCAGGTGTCAATCAAGTCACTCTGCTATTCAAAACCTTCCAATTGTACCCTAAATGCCTCAGGGTAAAGGCCAAAGTCCTTATTAATTCTGGCCTCTGCCCTTCACCCTCTGTTATCTCCTTGATCTCACCTTCTACCTCCTCCCTTCACTCCATTCCAGCCATACTGGCTTCTTTGCTGTTTCTTGAAAACGTCAGGTAAATTCTGTCTGTCTCCTATCACTAGAACATAAGCTCAGTGAGAAGAGAGATTTTTGTTTCTTTTATTCACTGCTTGTCCCCAGTGCCTACCACAGTGTTTGGAACATAGCAGGTGCCTACTGATTTATGAAATGAATGAATGAATATGCGTTGAGGATGCAGCTTGGGTCAAATCTGTTCCCGTGCTTATATTTATCCAATATTGGAATGATGCTTCAGCACCTCTAGACTTGCCTTGGCCCCTAGCTTCCATTAAATTGTGAACTGTTGTCTTTGCATTGATTTATTCTGTGTTATTTCCTGCTCCTTCGAAATTTGAGCGCTTTGAATCTTTTTCATGCCTCAATCCCAGCTAAAATGCCCTTTGCCCTTTCCAACTCTAGAAATCCTATGGACCCGTTTGGAGCCAGCTAAAGCCTCACTTCTTTCATGACACATTCTCTGACAATCTCACTTCACTTTGACGCCTCCTTTGAACTAGATATTAGAAAAAAATTAAATAATAGTCTTTATGTTTTAGAACAGTTTTAGATTTACAGGAATATCAAGCAGATAGTAGACAGTTCGCACATCAGTTCCCTGGTGTCTCCCTCCCAGTTTCCTCTATTGTTCACATCTTGCATTACTGTGGTTTATTTGCTATCATTGATGAGCCAAATTGATATATTTTATTAGCCAAAGTCCATACATTAGTTTACATTAAGGTTCACTCTTTGTGTTGTATAGTGTATGGGTTTTGACAAATGCATAATGTCATGCACCCCCCATTATAGTATCATATAGAATAGTTCCACCACCCTAAAAATTCCCTGGGCTCCACCTATTTATTCATCAGCTTGACCCCCTAACCCTAGGCAACCACTGATCTTTTTACTGTCTCCATAGATTTGCCTTTTCCAGAATGTCGTAGAGTTGGAATCATCCAGTATGGGGCCTTTTCACATTGGTTTCTTTCACTTAGCAATAGCATTTAAGGTTCCTCCATGTCTTTTCATGGTTTGATAGCTCAGTTCTTGTTAGGGAAGAATAATATTCTATTGTCTGGATGTATCACAGCTTATTTATCCATTCGCCTACAGAAAAACATCTTGATTGCTTCCAAGTTTTGGCAATTATGAATGGAGTTGCTATAAGCATCCATGTGCAGGTTTTTGTATGGACATTAAGTGTTCACCTCATATGGGTAAATACCTAGGAGTGTGATTTCTGGATCCCATGGTAAGAGTATGTTTAGTTTTCTAAGAAACCGCCAAACTGTCTTCCACAGTGGCTGGACCATTTTGCACTCCCACCAGCGATGAATGAGAGTTCCTGTTGCTCCACAGCCTCGCCAGCCCAACCCAACTTTTGGTGCTGTCAGTGTTCTGGATATTGGCCATTCTAACAGGTGTGCAGTGGAATCTCATTGTTGTTTTAATTCGCAATTCCTTAATGACTTATGATGCTGAACATCTTTTCATATGCTTATTGACATCTGTATATATTCTTTGAGAAGGTCTCTGTTCAGATCTTTTGCCCATTTTAAAATTGAGTTGTTTTCTTACTGGTGAGTATTAATAGTCCTTTGTATATTTTGGATACCAGCTCTTTATCAGATTGTGTTTTGCAAATATTTTCTCCCAGTCTGTGGCTTGTCTTTTCATTCACCTAACAGTCTTTCACAGAGTAGAGGTTTATAATTAAAAAGTCCAACTTAATCAATTTTTTTCTTTCATGGATCATGCTTTTGGTATTGTACCCCAAAAGTCATCACCAAACCTAAGTTCACCTAGATCTTCTCCCTTGTCATCTTCTAGAAGTTTATAGTTTTGTGTTTTACATTTACGTCTGTGATCCATTTTGAGTTAATTTTTGTGAAATGTATAAGGTCTGTGTCTAGACTTATTTATTTTATTTTTTATATGCATAAAATAAAATGCATATGGATGTCTAATCATTCTTAGATCTTCTTTGATTTCTGTCTTCAAGGTTTTGTAGTGTTCCTCATATAGATACTGCATGTATTTTGTAAGATTTATGCCTAGGTCTCTCATTTTCTTTGGTGCTCCTGTAAGTTGTGTTGTATTTTTAATTTCAAATTCCAATTGTTCATTGCTGGTATATAAATCTCCCTGTAACCACTGCTTTTGCTGTGTCCCATAAATTTT